AAAGAAAAATCCTGACCTGTGTATCAGACCAGTGGCAACCACTGAACCAGAAATCTTAGATTGAATTATGGTATTCAATATCCTTTACCTTGCATAAAGTTCCAACAGCTTCTGGTAAACATCAGCTAAGTCTCCTTTGTCATCTGTTTGCTTGGATTTCTCATAAAAATTTGCTAATCCCTTAAAAAAAAGATACATATTTAAAAAAAAGTAGGTTTTATGTCAAGAATTACATGTTATTAGTATTCAGTAAGTTCTGCCTAGAAATATTAACCCAATGCCTTCAATAGGGTCAAGTGCTGATGTAATAATCTCTAAGCAGAATCTACATTGATACCTAGGTACCTGTATTTATGTATTTTAAACCAAAAGCTTCTCTCACTTCTTTAAATAATACCTACAACTATTGGAAACACATGTATACATGTATCACATAATCTGGTCTGCACTAGACAATATATGAAGCACACGAAGTCATATGATAAAAGTTCTACACCCAGGAACCATAGGAATACCAGAATCTGACTGCAAAACAACTGAGGAAATTTCAATATGCCTTGAAATTAGGTGCCAAAAGTTGTACTTTTAAGAGGTGTTTATATTGAAAGTACTAAGAACCTTGCCACCTCAGAAAAACACTGTACCTGAGACACACACCTAATATGCAGCCTCATGCTTCACAAGTCTCCAAACAACACAACTGTATGTTTTAAAAATATACTGCTACAGGCTGCCATGCACAGGCCACCCAGCACACAGCTATTTAAAATGCATGCTGTTCTTTTTAAGTAACAACAATTAAATTCATAACAAACCACTTGATGCTGGAAGCTGCAAAAATTAATTGGAAGCAGCACTGTCAAATGTTTTCCTGAGCTATAAGCATGGAAATTCCTAAGCACAGAAGAATTTACTGTATCTGTTTCAATTCATGTTCTCCTTTGCACGTGTCATTGCTGCCTGCTTCACACAGGAAAAATAAATTAAATATACTGAAGCTAAAGTTCACCCAGCTAAACATATCCAGCCACCAATGTCTTTACTTTGGACACACAAAGACAAACCTCAGCTACTCTGAAGCTTCAGCAGAACAAAGAGCCTCAAGAAAACAGAATGCAAGTCTCAGCTCTGCTTTGTTCACATATTTGGCACCACAGAGTCATTTTCAGGGAAAGAAGTGGATCTGGGCACTCACATACCTGCCATGCCAGCAACTGGTTGGGTTCAATCTCAGCAGCCTTCCTGTAAGCTGCTCTAGCCTGGTCAGGCTGCTCTAACTCTGCAGCTGCCAGGCCTATGAACACCCAAGCATTGTAGTTATTTTTTTCTTGCTTCAAGACCACCTAGAAATACACAATTTAAGTGACACTGGTGAATGAAATGCATCTTATAGATCCAAGTACTCAGTTTCACCACTACACTTGGGGAAATTATTCTATGTGGCAATATAAGAAGTCAAGTAATTTTAGGAAAAGGCCAAGATTAATAACTGCAGCTTCTTATGACAGAGAATGTCTCATGTCTGAACTGTTTCTGCCCGTAATCGTATCTGTAGCTCAAGAACTAGAGCACTCCTGTCCAAGTCTGGATTAGAAACAGATTTTTATTTTTATCATTCTAGACTTAATATTCTTATTGCCAAACAGAAGGAAGTCCAAAAGGGGAGGAGAATAAAGGTTCACCTGTGGGGAGCTAACACAAAGTTAAATATGAAAATCAATCTCAACTGTTACATGCATAAGGTACCGCATGCTCTGCATTACTATATAGCTGTAGGGGTAAAAACATGCACAAAATACTGCTTTTCAAGTAAAAAAATGTATTACCTTGCAATGTTTTAAGGCTTCCTTATATTCTTTATTTCGTATTGCTTCTCTAGCACTCTTTAATGCTGCCTTCACCTCCTTACTTGACATTGTGGCTACTAAGTAAAAAGGACATCATTCAGCTCTTATAAAAAAAATATGCTGAACCAAAACCATTTTTTATAGCCTTTATTATTGTCTATAATTGCATAGAGAGCACTTTAAAGACAGAAACACAGTGCAATATGCTAGCACTGAAGATTGCTAAAACAAATAATGCAGTTGAAATTCTTTACTTTCACTTAGCCCCAACACAAGATTAAGTCAATATTCCAAACAGTTAAAGGGTACAGAGTAGCTATCCCAGAATGAAATTATGGATAAGGTTTAAGATAAATTTTAAAAGGAGACAAGGTGTAATGTCACAGTGACCTTAGTTAAGACATCTAGAAAGACACTCAGCACATTATTCCTTTTAAAAGAGGAATTACTAAGCAATGAGCAGCATTTAAGAGGTGCATGGCCCTGCACATGTGCTCAAGAGGTTCCTAAGGATCAGTATTTTTCCTGAGTCCCACCTACAGCAGCACCATATCCAGCCTGTCACTGATGTTCAGGGATGGTCTGCAGTACTCCTCTCCCTTCACACACACAGCAGGCCATGCTCCAACTACAGCTGTGTAGTGAAAAAGAATAAGCATTTAAGGACACACCAGACCACAGACTGGTTTGGGTTGGAAAGGACCTTAAAGACCATCCAGTCCCACCCCCTGCATGGCAGGGACACCTCCCACCATTCCAGGCTGCTCCAAACCCCATCCAACCTGCCCTTCAACACTGCCAGGGATGGGGCAGCCACAGCTTCCCTGGGCAACCTGGGCCAGGCTCTCCCCACCCTCACAGCACAGAATTTCTCCCTCACACCTCAACAATCACCCCCATTTCAGCCTGAAACTGTTCCCCCTGGTCCTACTGAGATATTCACGCTTTTTACCTCTGACATAATCAAGCACTGTTTTCACACATGGGGTAAATGATTTGCCTCAAATGAACTCTGGAAACAACACAGTCAAAGCTGCCCAAACGGGAGGAGGCCCAGAGGCCCAGAGGAGGCAGCTCTCCTGGTGCAGGCACTGAGGAGGTGACAAACTGCAGCACAAAACGCCCTTTATCAGCTGAAAAACAAGAGATAAAGGCATGAAGGGCCTTCAGAGAAATCAGTAATTAAACGACATGGGAGGAGAGTGGATGTCATACTTGACTTGGGAGCCTAGAAGAAAATATATACATATATATATACAGAAACCTGCCAAACTTACGTTGCTCAGCAGCTTCTGGAGATGAACTGTCTTCCTAAGAGGAAACGAACTCCTCGATCACCACAAACACACCGGTGCTGCCGACCCTGAGCTCCATTTTCACCTGCAGAGGGGTAAAAGAAAACCCAACCCAAACGCCCCGTTAACCGGACACATCGCCGGGCCCCGCAGCCGCGCCCTGAGGCGAGAGG